CGGCATATGAAAAGTATCTGGTCCTACAGTAGCGAACGCAGATATCGATGGTGATGCGGTTGGCCACGGTTGGGTCTATGGTGTAGGGGAGGTCATAGGCCTCCCCACGTTCGGGATTGCCACTGCGGGAGCAAAGTAGGTAGGTGCTTTCCACTTGGAGGGCTCTGAAATCTGAAAGTTAGTAGGCTAGTCTAGTATGTTTAATCTTTATTCTTTTAACATTTTTGTTTAGGAGGAGGCTTACATGGTATTTAACCTTTAACCTTTGAATCTTTTTATTTAGTTATTCATTTATTTATTCATTTATTTATTCGAAATTTCTGAAATTTAGTATTTAAATATTATCAGTTCGTTCGATCCATTCATCCCTTAATATTCTCGCCAGAAAGTAATTAAGCTAGATATATAAGAATTGAGCTATACAACACTACAAAAACATTGATCGGCATATAAATGTTATTATTACTACTACTACTACTACTACTACCTATACCTGCTACTACTACTACTACTATCACTACTACTACTACTACTACTACTTCTACTACTACTACTACTACTACTACAGCAAATATAATTACTATACTACTAATCAGTGTTGTGCTAACTACTTAAAAAATGTAGTTAACTACTATAGTTAACTACTTTGAAAAAATCTAGTTAGTAACTACTTTTCAACTACTTTGCACAACAGTAGTTAGTAACTACTCTTTAACTACCACCTAGTAGTTAACTAGTAGTTAACTACTTTCCAAACATTGCCATTTAAAAAGAAACTGGTGTTTACAACCTTTCGATACCAAATTACTAATTTTTGCAAATTAATATGATGAATTAATGATGCATTAGGTCATGGACATCCATGATTAAGTTGTCTTAACCTTGTATGCCCCACAGACAACTACATAATGCAATAGGTGTATATAATATGTATGTATATTATGTAAAATGTCTATTATATGTGTCCATATACAATATGTTATATATATAAATATATATGATATATTGTATATATGTTTTATATATGTTTTGCTCATTGTTGTATACAACCCTTTGTTATCCAGCATGTGATATGATTAGTCATGCATAGCAAATGCATATTAGATGACCATGTCTGTTTTCAACAGTAACACAACAATGCATGCACACAGATAGGGGCGATCAAATATTAGCTTATTATTATAAGTAGTTATGTAAAATAGTTAACTACTGTAGTTATTAACTACTAAAAAAATAGTTAACTACTAGTTAATAACTACTTTGAAAAAAATAGTTATTAGCTACAGCTTAACTACTAGCAAGTAGTTATTAACTAGTAGTTAACTATTTGTAGTTAATAACTACACACCACTGCTACTAATCAATCTTTGTTTAGCGTCCAGAAACCAAGTTTCCTACTACTAATAATAATAATAATAATAACAATAATGATGATAATAAATAATAATAATAATATAATAATAATAATGATAATGAATAGCTGACCCGTGGTACATGTAAAGCCTGCAAAAAATGGCGGACACTTGCATACGAAAGAATCTCCCTTGCTGATGCACGTACCTCCATTCTCACATGGGTTTGACGAACACGGACAGACTGGTCAGTTAGTTGGTTGATTGGTAGGTTGGAGTGATTGAATGATTGGTTGGTTGAGGCGAATGACGGATTGGTTGGTTGGTTTGTTGGAGAGATTGAATGATTGGCTGGTTGGTTGGGGCGAATGACGGATTGGTTGGTTATTTGGTTGATTGGTTGGTTGGAGAGATTAAATGATTGGTTGGTTGGCTGTTTGGTTGGTTGGGGCAAATGAATGATTGGTTGGTTGAAGAGATTGAATGATTGGTTGGTTGGTTGATTGGGGCGATTGAATGATTGGTCACTTAATTAGATGTGGTTGGTTGATTCGTTGATTGGTCAATTTTGAATGTTTGAGGCGACTGATTGGTTGGTCAATTTTGATTACGAGGCGGTTGATTGGATGAACGCTTGATTGATTGGTCAGTTGATTGCGTGATTGGCTGAGAAGAGGTCGATCGCCACTACTGCTACTGCCACTAATAATAGTATTACTTCTTTCACAGGTATCCCCCGTGTAGCCGGTGGCACATTGACATTTGTAGCCACGCCTATGTTTCGTGCACGTTCCTCCATTTTGACAGGGATTTGAGACGCACTGGTCGACTATTTATGTTAATAAATTGTGTTAATTAAAAGCGTGTTGTTGTTTACATCATGGCTATGAATCTTAATGAGATGGAGAAAAAAATTGCAAACAAAAACTAAACAGTATTACGGAGGGATTGCATAGTATGTAGATGACACATCATTATTATCATAAACAACTGGTTTAATTTAATTAGTTAAGGAATGATTGATTGGATGGTCAGTTGGTTGATTGGTCAGTTAGTTGGTTGATTGGTCAGAGTTGGTTGGTTGGTTGATTGGTCAAAATTGGTTGATTGGTCAGAATTGGTTGGTTGATTTGTCAGAGTTGGTTGATTGGCCAGTTGTTTGGGTGGTTGATTGCCACTACTTCTACTACTCCTCCTAAAACTTAGACAAAAACAAATCAAGGACCAACCCTTGTCGCACCTGACACCCCACCAGCCCGCCAAACAGGCGTTATTAAGGCACTCCCCTGAAATTCTGTCACATATCTTATGGGCACACTTGCAGTTAACCTTGCAGAACGCTCCAAATATGCCTGGCGGACACGATTCGGCTGTCGGGGAAAAAATTTCGAATTTGAAATTATTTCTAGGTCGGTATGAATGAATTATTCATTTAAATAATTAAAAAATCAAAAATAATTTAAGGATAATATTTAAAAAAGTTAAACAAACTAACGAAAGTCATACTCGTGCGTGAATATGTTTTTAATCCTCTTCCAGATCCTAACTAGAAAGGAGACGATCACCCAATCAGATCCCTTGTCTTGAGAACAATTAATTTATAGGTTAAAGGTTAATGTTGGGGTTAAAGGTTAACAAAAACATTAAGTACACGCACACGTACACACGCACACGAACCTGAATCACATCTATTAGCTGTACTAATGGTGTTCTTATAATTTTCAAACCGGTATCCACAAATATGCTTATTACCGCAGTTGCCAGTCATGACGTCACAGGGGTAGAACCACTTACAGTTGCATAGTAACCCGCAATCCGGCCCATATCGACCAGGAGGGCAGGCTAAAATTTGGTTGGTTGGAGAATTTGTATGAGATGCTGTGATAGTCAGAGATTTTTCAAGATAGATTAAAGTTGGCCGGATTTATATCAGAGTTTGTGATTGGTTCAGGGCGTATCTAACTCCTATTAACTTTGATTATTATATTCTTTGAAAAATCTGTAGCAAAAATTTGATTTAATTACAACAACGCAACTTAACATTAACTAATTTTAATTAATCGTAAAAGAAACTTAAAGAAACGCTCTAGACACTGATTTATCGGGATCAAAAGCTACAAATCGACTCTAATTCGTCTCTAGATTTAAGATATTTCTTACAAAAACGATTAAAGATAGTTTTCAAATTTATTGAGAGTAAATAGTTTGAAGAAAAGATCAAAGATAGATATATTTATCGTAACAAGTTGAACGGCATTTAAAAACGAAGGCAAACTCTGGAGCTGAGTGGCGTAGACATCGTCGCCATTGAGACGACCTCCACACTGCTCCGTCAACTTTCCTTCGCATGGCAACTTGCAGTTTCTTCGAATTTCCGATTTCCTATTGAACTGATCCAGAGTTCCACAACTGCATTTGTTTCCCTGAGCAAATATAGACAATATATGAAAAACGGTAGTTAACTATTAAGACTCATTCAGGCAGATCAAACTAAAAGGTAAAATTTTATGATAGTGAATCTATACTAAACTCGGCATTGCTGATACTAACGTCGTACAGAAATGCTACAGTGTATTCAAAGTAGATGCAGTGATCAATGCAGCTCTCCCAGGATAAGATGGAGAAATCGTCAATCCATTCCTCTTTGCCCGTAGAGCGCTTGAACATGACGCAGCCTCTGAAGTTGGAAAACTCGCTAAAATAGTCGAAGTATCTGTCGTCGTCTTCATCTGATGATTCAAAATTGTAGCTAATAAACTACGGAAAGCCGAATAGGTAATCAGACTTTTTATTTTCCCGTTTATAATGGTTAATTTAAAAAAGAGAAATAAATTAAAATACAAAAAAAGCCAACTGACTGACAACTTACACACAACGTTGACCAATGAAGTGAGGCTTTTACCATCCCCACAGCCAAAGAGAGCCAAAAACAAAACGCCAAGAATAAATTCTCTAATTGTTATGATTTCTGGCATAATAAATTCGAAATAAAACCCAAACACACTCGGCGTCAGTATTTTGACATTTCAAAAAACAGCTACGATGACGTCAAACACATAATCAAGCGCTCAAATTTTATTTTGTAAAAAAAAATGTTCATTTTAATGAATGTTTCCATTTAACTTTCAAGTTTCTCTTGTCTTTTTTTCAACTTTCTAGCCATCTTTAAGCGCTTCTTATTCAATTTCAGTTCGTTATTCAAATCAACTTCATACTCGGCCAATCTGGTGAGTTTCGTGAACTCATTTCTGAAATTTCCAAACAAATTATTCTATAATTAATACTAAAATAAATAAAATCTTAACAAAAATATTGCAAAAAAAATGAGCAAACAATGAAAGATATCCCAAAAAGAAGAGTGCCCCAATTGGAATCCAGGCGATAACTATGAGTAACGTTAAAGACACAACCAGCATCGGAAAGCCCTGCCAGCTTGCCACGAAACCCAATTCTACAAATTTTCAAATTACATTTTATTAATTTAATTTTGATTAAAAAAAATTAGATTCTAAAATACAATAAATCAAACCAAATATTACATTTATCTATGTTAATACAGACCAACTCGTTACAATCAATCAATTATGTCAATCAATCAATTATGTCAATCAATCAATCAATCAATAAATCATTCAATGAATCAATCAACCAACCAATCATTCAATGAATCAATCAATCATGAATCAACCAACCAACCACTTAAAATTTCACTTCTCCAACACAACCTTCATTACACTTGGGGCCACTCCATCCGAACCTACAGACGCCGGGTTCTCTACATTTACCCTCCTGGAAGTCACACTGCCCCTGAGCGCACATGCACACACGGTCACATTTCGAACCCCATCTGTGCATTTCACACACTGAACGATTGTAAAGATGGTTTTTTTGTAGTTTTATGGTATTTTCACGAATTTAAGCGGTGATTTTTTGAGATGTTTATTTAATTAGAAGATATTTTCTGTTGTTGTTAGTCGCAGATTTTTATATTTGTCTGAACAATTAGCGGAGTGCGTATCTGGTTAACTGCTATTACAGATATGGAGAAATAAATTGTGGAGAGAGAGAAAAAGGGAGAGTTTAAAAAACAAATTTTCGTAGTAGAGAGAGAGAGAGAGAGAGAGAGAGAGAAAGAAAGAGAGAGAAAGAGAGAGAGTCAGACAAAGAAAGACTGTAGAAGAGAAAGAAAGAAAGAGAGAGAGAGAGAGAGAGAGAGAGAGAGAGAGAGAGAGAAAGACGAAATATTTTAACCGGTGAAAACGGTAACGAGGTCCCGACCGCCACACTCATACTCTGACGTGTTACTCGAACTTCTACCTCCACAAGGTGTGTCACATTCTTCGTACCAGACGGCTCCAAACTGCAGAAATATCAGATGATTGGCGCAATAACACGACGCTCCTTCCTACAAAAATCATTAATAATATAATCATTATTATTATTAGAGAGAGAAAGAGGAGAGAGAGAGAGAGAAGAGAGAGAGAAGAGAGAGAGAAGAGAGAGAGAGAGAGAAATATAGAACAACCTCAATGCCAGCGTACGGATAATCAAGTCCACGGCAATAGGAGACACAGACGTCTCGAGACATGATCTGTCTGTTGGCGAAACTTCTTATGTCTAAGTTGTAGGAGACTTTTAAAAGGTTCCTATAGCAACCTAGAGCATGCGTCTTGTAATGGACTAACCACGTGTCTGGCACCTCTGTGAGTGTGTATGTGTGTGTGTTAAAATATAAATAATTTATACAAATTTATGAGCAAAAATATTGAAATAACAACAACAACGACGACAACAACAACAGCAGCAAAAATACCACCACCACCAACAAAAACAACAATAATAATAATAACGACGATGATAACCCATTTGGCAGTAGTGTCCTGCGAATCCGGGCGGGCACAGACATCTATAGAAGAGACCAATTGCATGACAGGAGCCGCCATTTTTACACGGTTTTTTGATGCACGGATCGACTGATTAGGTAGTAAATCACTCACTCACTCACTCTCTCACTCACTCACTCACTCACTCACTCACTCACTCACTCACTCACTCACTCACTCACTCACTCACTCAATCAATCAATCAATCAATCAATCAATCATTCAATCAATCAACCAATCAAACTACAAATTAATCATCTAACAACCAACCAGCCAACCAAACAACTAACCAACCAACCAAACAACCAACAATCAATCATTCAATCAAACCAATCAACCAACCGTATTCGCAATTTCTCCCGATAAAATTTGCCAGGCAGGCACATGAATATGTCACTTGGAGTTTTGGTAGGCAGGTGGCGTTATTCCTACACTTCGAAGGCGAACACGGTTTAGCTAGAATAATAATAAAAATAACAAAAACAACAACAACAACAACAATAATAATTAATATTAATATAATTCTAATAAATAATATCAACAATGATAATAATAATAACTCACGTATGTCGCATCTCTTTCCGATCCAGTCATCCTTGCAACCACCCTTCGGGCAAACTCCTTGATCATAATAACAATAATAATAATAATAATTATTATAATAATTATTATTAATTATTTCGCATAATTTTTTACCAGTTTCTAGGTCACATATGGTTTTATTCCCCATTCTCTCGTCTGGCTTGCAGTGGCATTTGAAAGTGCAACCTCTGGTGTAATAACCCGGTCGGCACTCTACAACAACAACAACAATAATAATAATAATAATAATAATACACCATCTCGCGGACCAATACACGAACACATTGAAATACCCTTGAACTTGGGGTTGAGGTGTTCGCCCTTGAATGGAGAAAAGAGGCCCTCCTCCTGTCCTATCTCCAGGATGGCCATCTGGAATGCTGCCAGTAAGCCGGCGAATCTGTTTGTTTCTATCTCGTTTCGTTTCGTTATAATTATTATTGTTATTGCAGGTTTAATCACATTAAAACGCTATAAACATTTGAAAAGGAATAATCAGAACGTTGCGAAAACGAATAAAAAATCAAACAAAACACAGACAGATACACATAAACAGGCAGGCAGACACACATACACAGACAGACAGACACACACACACACAGACAGACAGACACACACACAGACAGACACACATACACAGACAGACACACATACACAGACAGACACACATACACAGACAGACACACATACACAGACGGACACACATACACAGACGGACAGACAGACTAACGTAAGACATCACATCGACCGCCAGAGTAGCCGGGTAGACAGGTATGTTCTCCCATACACGCGCCCTCAATCAAGTCGCAGAATGAAGTGACGCACATGCACCTACGCTGACAGCCATGGCCCCATGAAAACTTCCCACATACTATATTTTTGGAGGGTGTGATGATTTGGCGTTTACTTTTTTTTTCACAAAAAATTCATCGACCGATCACCTATTTCTAATCGATCAATCAATCAGACAACTACCGAAAAACTAATCATCCATCTTTCCGATTCTTTAACCATTCAACCTATCAACCAACCAAACAGCCAACCCGAATAAATAGCGAACGAATTAGGAGATCCACAATACTCCACCGAAGTTTGTGTACACGGAACGAAGCAGTCAGAGGTAATAGAACTGGCGGAGATTCTTCTAAAAGAACTACACGAACAACTATTCGGCTAAAAAACAATTTTATATCCATTTTTTAAAATATAGCAAATAAACCAAATAAATAATCTGCTTCTTTTCGAAACATTCTTCACAGTAGCGTAGTTGTAAAGTGTCTTCTTTAGGGGAAATTAGGTTTGAATTGGATGCAGTGTCTTGCACAAATATGATGTGTTGTTTGCGCAATTATGAACACTGCGCTACATAAATGTTATTAGTATTACTACTACTATTTATTATTAATATTAACAATTATTAATATTAACAATTATTATTTTTATTATTGCCCACTTTTATATAAAATACGCTAAACTCGCGGCTGTAGCAGAAAGCTGAACACTTTTCATGAGACATAGGGCTTTCAGTTAGAGCTACGCTGTCAGTAACTATATGATTTCCAGAAAATTATAACTTTCTGTCGTTATATCATATTATATTATGAATTATTTTTCAAATAATTAGTGACAATAACAACAATATTATATTTATTATTTATAATAATTAATCACCGCTAGATGTACAGCCGAAGAAATGATGGGATGCATCTTGACTATTTACAGCTATAAATATAAAAGTGTTTTTTGATACTTTGTTATGTTTTTATTTAGATAAAATTTGATTTATTTGAGTTTAAATAATGTAAAATACCATTAAGAATATTGAATAATATTAAGTAATATAAGTAAGAATCTGTCTCTAACTTATGGTGGAATTCATTTAAATTAAATTTCACTATAATAGTATAATATAAATTCCATTGCAATTTTTCCATTGAAACTGCTTTAAGAAAAACTGCAAACAATTGTTTCCAAACTGGTTTTTGAATATGAAAGGAATGGCTTGCAAATTAACATCAACAAAGCAGAGTGCATGGTTATCATGTAAAAGCAAAACTGCCCCAATCAGCTCTCTAATCATTAATGGTAAACAGGTGAAACTAGCTTCAGTTATCTCGGAAGTCTGATTACCTCAGGTTGTAAATGTGATATGGATATCAAAAGAAGGATAGCTATGGCGAAGGATGCATATTCTAAAATGAAAAACATCTTCACCAACAGTAAATTCAGAATATCAACAAAATTAAAACTGTTAGGGTTTAACAGTTATTATTATTATTATTGCCCACTTTTATATAAAATTATTTATATTTGAATCTGAATCCTGAATCCTGGACAACTTCTAAAAAAATGGAAAAAAAAATTAACGCTGCTGAGATATGGTTTTTGAGAAGAATTATGAAAATTAGTTGGACCTCTCATACTTCGAATGAGGATGTATTAATAAAATAAAACAGTCCGGATATGAAAAGAGAAAATTACTAAAGATAATCCGACGGGGCAGGAAAGAATGGAAAATCTAACAACTACAAGAAAGATTGCAGGGAAGAGAGATTGCGGTCAACAACAAATAATATTCGTGAGGTCCGTCTGTCACTTGTTGAATATCACCACATTTCAACTACTACAAAGTGTTAAAGATCGGGTTTTGTGGAGGTCGATGGTCGCCAATGTCATGAAAGGATAAAGCACGAGAAAGAAAGAAAAGAAATAATATAAATAATTAAAAATAAAAATTAATTTAATTAAAACGAACTTACTGACAAAATGACATTGTAACATAATTATTAATTTTTCGAAAAATCTTTTAAATTTAAATAAATTCATAATTTATTAATAATAAATAAATAACAATAATAACTAAAAAATAATAAAAATAATAATTGGCAAATAAGGATGAATTTTTTTCGCAAATATTTAAAAAGCGTTGAATTTTTGAATTTCGCGCATTTGATCATATGATGTGTAAAAGTTATTGATGATAGTAAAAATTGAAGCGTTGAGTTTATTTAGCGCTTAATTGTTATATTATGATTGAAAATTCTTTAACTCTCAGAGGTAAAAACAACACGCACACAGACACAGACACACACCACTAACACACAAACACAAAATTCATCGAAGGGGATCTCATTGCCACAGCGAAGCCAAATGTCTGGTATCCACTGCTGTGCTTGTATCAGTGAAAGTTACTAAATATTATCTTCATCTTAAAATCATTGATAAGCTACAGATGAAAATATTTTAACGCAGGTCTAAGACCAACGTACGTATATAACACAAAGACTCCATTTTTTCAAATTACGTAGCATTTATTAGTTACAATAAAATGCTATTATACAGTATCATATGAAACATTCACATTTTAATTTTTAATCCTGGTCAATTAAGTTCAGCAAACAAATTACCAACTAGACAGCAGAGTGTTGTCAATGAAATCATACAGGATGAACTTAACAGTAAGCTGGGCGGCCACTCTAGCAAAAACTCTCAAATGTTCGGCTGAAACGGGTTCAGTCTTGACGTAAGCGGTTATCAGAATAGCCAGACAGACGCATTCTAAAATCAAATCATTCAAACGATAACTCCTAAAGCCATAAATGTAGACCAAGGTGCTGGCCACGGCCATGGGCAACAAGTCCCAGTAGGTCCCATAGCTGGTTTTGAAGGCCAGATGGATTCCATGGTCGACCAATCCGGAGATTACGATGAAGATGACAAGGGCGAATATGAGTTTCAGATGTCTGTTTGCACTGTCAGTGTCGGCACTGTTGTTCCTCTGGGGTCCAGTCCACTCTAGCATCTGTTTAAAAAAATACTCAAGTATACTTTATATCACTTCCCAATCACTGACGAAATTTAGTTAGAGCATATATTGATTTTGGGACTCATCATTAGCCCATTTCAAACATCCAAAACATCTCATTTAATCACGTTACTAACATTTTCTTGCGTATTTTTTTCGTTTTTTGCCATTTTTTATCAATTAATTCGATTATTGCACTAAATTTTTATACTTTTTTCAATTATTTCCATTATTAGTTTATGTTACAATGTTACGTCATTCAAAAACTAAAAATTCTAAAACCATTGAAGAATTTAATTTTTTAATGTTGTTTTCCTTAAAATATTTCTTATTTCTGAAAATTTTGTAATTCACAATAACTACTTTTCATCCAATTCGTTTATTTGACTAATTCATAGCAAATAAAACTAAAGAACCAACGAACAAAAAAAGCATTGTTGTCATTTACTTCTTATACTATGGCAGATGGCGATAATGGAAATGATGGCTGTGGTCCGCATGATGGTAAAAATTGTCTAGAAACTCCGTCTTTTGAGCCGATTGAAAAAACAAAATTTGACAGAAAGTTATACAAATCAGTCTGCGATAGATATTACACTAAAAGATTCAAATTAGGTGAGGGTTGATATGATTTTTTGCATGTGCTTGTTTTATTTATATATTTCATTTGAATTTTGATTTTATTCACTACTGTGGGGTGATCAATTCATTAATGAAATAATTAATTTAATATATTTAATTATAAATTATTTTGTGTAAACAAATTGTACAACTAACTAAATAACTGACTGACTGAATAAATAAAATTCTAAGATTACAATCAAAGATTCTAACTAATTGTTTATGACATGTAATTTGCAGATCCAAAGAAAGATGAACATTTGTGTATATTGGAACATTCAAACAGGTTAAGAAATTTTATGAATTTTTTTGATATTTCCTTTTATATATATTTTGGATGAAGACTGTCAGATATGCAATTATTGATTATAATCATAGCATGTTCCGTCTTAGTTAGCTTTGTATTTAATTTTTTGCTTTATTTATATAATATATAAAATATATATAATTATATATATTATATTCTAATGGTATATAATATTGAGCATTTGGCCACACATTCAACAATGTAATTCAACATTAAACATGCCAATTTAAATAACAAAAAAAGATTTTTTTGTTCTTTCATGCTTGAAATGTATGAACATTTTGGTTTTGAACTAAAGAAATTTGACAATGATTTACCATCTAACAATAGAAAAATTAAACAGAAAGCTAACACGAAACATGTTGTAATTTTTATCAATAATTGTTTGTATATGTATATATATATATATACACATACATTTATATCGCATATATATATATATAATTTCAAATATATATCCTAATTTATTTATAAACTTGTCAGGATATGTTTAATAACACTGGCCCCAAACCATCCAATACTGAAGCAGAAGAAGACAGTGGAGTTTGTGGATTTCAAGATTAATGATAATGTTGATAGGGCGACGAACAAAGTTTCTGGAAGACTGAAAAGAGTGAGAGTTTACTTTAAATTTTAGAATTTTTTCTCAAAAATAATAATTTTTAAATATAATTTTTTGAAATTATCTCAATAAATTACTGATGACAATTTAATTGATATTTTAATTATGACATTTTTAATTTTTTATAGGGGGCCCAATGGTTAAATACAACAGCAGTGCTGTGCAATTTAAAGTGTTCAGACGGGTCTGTATATTCTGTAGTCCCGGGCTTAAAAGCGAACTTAATCGAAGTCAACGAGTTGTTGATCACTAATCCCAATCTAGTGGCTGAACAGGTGTGTGTAATTAGTTGATTGGTATTTTAAATTTACTTTTAAATTTAGATTTTGCTGAAAAAATATATATTTTCATTGAGTTTGGAATGAGTTATGTGTTTAAATCATTCTTTTTCCAAATTTTCAGCCATTTTCTTCAGGCTATATAGCCATCTTGTTGACAAAAATAGAAGACCACAGCAAAGAAATGAAAAAACTGACCACAGAACAAGAATTTTGGTTGAAAGTGAATGGAGATTTAAACAAAAATACAATGGACAATGATTGATAGAAAGGATTAATTGATTGATTGATTGATTGATTGATTGATTGATTGATTGATTGATTGATTGATTGATTGATTGATTGATATGTTTTTATCTATATAGCTTGTTTTTAATTATTAAGAAAATGATTGTTGCAATGTTGGTATGTATGTATTTTATTGTCTCTTTATAATTTTCATAAATAATTATTATTCACCAAAATAAAATTAATTGATAGATATGTTCTGTAGTTTTTGAGAAAAATGTTGAAATATATCAAGTTTCTAAATAGAGATAGAGTTTAATATTGAGAAAAAAAGTTGGCTTAAGTTGAGATATCAATAAAATTGGCTTTGTTAGTATGTATGTGTGTTTGTGTGTGTGTAAGTATGTGTGAGAGTGCGTTTGTATATATGTGTATTGCTCATAATCTACTGTTAAATAGCGATGTGGGATGTTTGCATGTGTGTGTGTGTGTGTGTGTATTTATGCCTCGCACTCCCCACTGACACTCCTCACCGGCTACACGACGCCTGGCGATTCGTTTATAGCGACCAATTAAAATTCAATTAAGGTTTTATGTTGAGTAGAATATTACAATGTGAGTTATTGAGGTATATATAGACGTGCATTTTAATAAGTTTCACTGCATATCTGTTGATACCGGCGTGTTATCTTCGTTTGTATAACTGCGAAACACACCACACACACACACTCACACACACACATATATATATATATATACATACAAGTCTTTGTGTATTTTTGTGTTGTGTGTGGCATATTTTTATCAACTTGTATGCGTGTTGGCTTTGCTATGTGTGTCTGAAGATATGTGTAAATAAGTGTATGTGTGTGTATAAGAAAGTGCGAGTGTGAGAAAGAGATAGCTTGTGTGCATGTGTATGTATGTGCGTCCGCGTGTGTGTGTGTGCGTGCGTTATGATCGATTTGTTGTTTCCTTCTCTAGAGGCGCTACTCACGATAAAGATTTTGATTGATAGAAATAAATAAAATTGTTTAAAAATATAGAATATAAATAACGAATAAATATTATGAATTAAATGCCAATTACAGTTTCAATATTTGTACTTAAATAATATATATAAATTTTTTGAATGAAACAAATGTTCTGTAAGTAACACTGGACTTTTAAAGGCACACACTTCACGTATCTCAATAATATTATAAAATAATTAAAAAACAATACCGTCACATCATCATAATCACCATCATCATTATTAATTATAGTTATAGTAATAATTTTATTATTATTAATATTATTAATCATAATAATATCTTTATTGTTATTATTTGTTGTATTTACTGAAAAAGGGAAACGTGTTGTTAAAAGCCCAGCGAATCGATCGCTAGTTCGTGCTGTTATCACGTGTTTAGTTTATCTGCTAAACGGTACAAACACGGAGAGAGAGAGAAAGAGAGAGAGAGAAAGAAAAGAAAGAGAGAGTGAGTGAGTAAAAGCAAAAGATAAAAAGAGAAAAAGAGAGAGAGAGAGTTATAACGTTAAAAAAATGTTTGGGAGGAAGGAAGATGAAGAAAAAACACAACAAAAAAGATAGAAAGAAATCTAGATAGGCAAAGAGAGAGAGAGAGAAAGAGAGAGAGATAGAGAGAGAAAGAGAGAGAGAGAGATAGAGAGAAGGAGACTGAAAAACGAGGCTAAAGAAATATTTAAGAGTACAAAAAAAGAGAAGGGGAGAAAGGAGAAAGAGAGAAAGATGAAAAAAAGTACACTTAGTATCCACGTACATATTTACTTTTCATGTTACCTTATATCAAAAAGTAGTCTCTGTATCTGTATCACATACACACATACACACACAAACACTCACACACACACAGAAACACATACACACATATATCTGTGAGTATGTTTATAGTTATGTTTAAAACTATCTACACATTATAATATGGACGTTGTTCATTATTTATTGATTATTTTGCTTGGTTTATCTCTAGCTACACACACACACACATACACATACGTAGATCTCACATAATGTAAATAGTTTAGTTAGTTAGTATCTGGTCGTTTGTATGTTAATAATTATAAATTATAACAAAATAATAAATATTATTTAGTGTTTTTGATGTCGCAATAAGTTACAGTTTGAAATATTTAGTTTTTTTTTATAATAAATAAACGTTTCGAGTTTTTTTTTAAATTTTTTTAATTTTTTCACAGCAATCTACTATGAAAGAGGTATGTATGTATGCAATGTATGCAATGTATGTTTGTTTGTACACATGTATGTATGCAATGTATGTTTGTATATGCGTATGTATGTATGCAATGTATGTTTGTATATATGTATGCAGGTACACATGTACCTAATTTATGAATGATTTATCGACGACTGTCTCTATAAATACAATTCTAAAAAGATCTTTCCTTAGAGGATTGCTTTATGATACACAGTTGCTTGTATTTTTTTTCTATAAACTGGAATGTCATTATCATTTGAATCAAGTTAATTTACATTATTAACTGCCAGACAAGAAGGTTATTATTACTTCTACTGTTACTACTACTGCTACTGCTGCTACTACTGCTGCTGCTACTACTACTCTTATATTGTTGCTGCTATTGCTGCTGAAGCTGCTAAAGCTACTACAACAGCTGCTTTTATACTACTGACTCTTCCACTGTTTTATGTTTATTACTACAAAATGTACTACTTAGTATTTTTTTCCACTAGGGGTTGGTTTTTTTTAAGTATTCTTGAGCCGGTTTTGGAAGTTGTTAATTTAATAGAAGTCTCAGTGAAGGGTTATGTGTTTGTGTATGTGTTTGTTTGTGTGTGTGTGCGTATTTATGTATGTGAGTATACGTATGTGTCTTTGTTTGTGTGTGTGTTTGTTTGTGTGGGCGTGTATTTATGTACGTGTGTATAGGTATGTATATCTGTCTGCGTGTGTTTGTTTATGCTTTGTGTGTGTACCTGTAAATGTGCTTGAAAATTTTTGAAAGTGTATTTATAGAGAGATAGATAGTTAGAAAAATAGAGAGAGAGAGAGAGAGAGAAAGAGAGAGAAATAGAGAGAAAGAGAGAGCGAGAAAGAAAGAGAGAAAGAGAGCGAAAGACATAAATAACATTTGGGAAAAGAGTCACGCAACGTTTTTGCGTGATTAGGCGATTTCATTCGACATGACAATAATGTGGTTAGTTAGAAAACATGAATATGTAAACCACGAGGATGCTGTGGATGCTGTGGACGCTGCTACTACTGCTGCTGCTGCCACTACCGCCACTGTCGCTGCTTTCGCCGCTACTGCTGCTGCTGTTGATATTGATGACGTTGATGGAAATATTAAATATGTAACAATGGCAACCATCTAAATGAGAGCAATGATGACGACATTAAAATTGGTATATCGATAATAATATCTCGTCTCGTTTCGGTTCTAATTTCGTCTCGTATCGTATCGAATCGTAGATTAGATATATTTGTAAGTGAATAGAATAAGGACAGTTTTGACAATTGAAACCCCTTTTCATGGAATGTAATATGGTGCTAGGTTTGAAGCGTTACTAACCTAAAAATTATTAATATTAATATTATTATTATTGTTATTATTGTTATTATTATTGTTATTATTATTATTTTCTAGTTATTATCATTACTATTATTATCTTCTGTGGCTTTATTGGAAGACAGATTGAATTTTGTTTTTTCGCAATTTTTTTCTGTCTGCTCGGTGAGAATTTTTTAAATAATAATATTAATGATAATAATAAGAATAATAATAATAAGAATAATAATAATAAGAATAATAATAATAAGAATAATAATAATAAAAATAATAATAAGAAGAAGAAGAAGGAGAATAACAAGAACCATAACAATTAAACTAATACACACATATACATACACGCCAAAAAACACCCACATATACTTTGACAAAACACGCATACACACATACATACATACATCCATTCACGTATATATATATATACACACGCACGCACACACACGCACATACATACTGCAAAATTATTTCAGCATAGATACTGCGAATATTTGGCCAAATAAATCATGTATGGCAAACAAAATAACTTTGCAAAGAAATATTTTTAGCGTTTTATTTTTAAATATCTTTGTTGCACTGAAATCTATTTTGTCACTTTCAGTCAATCAATCATTAAATCAATCATTTTATCAATCAATCAATCGGTTGGTCGGTCAATCAATTTATATTTAATGAACATCTAGATGTGGGCTTAAACGAAATCATAAATAGCTACATTATTCACTGATCAACCAAACTAAACAAGTCAACCAATCAACCAATGATAAGTGCCAACCAAATGGCATCAACTTGTCGATCAGATAATAATAGTGACAGTAAAGAAACGGTTACATCAGCTAATTCATCAACCAATCATGTTTTAGTAAAAAATTGTTATAATTATCATTATGTTGACAAAATTCGAGTCAAAATTCTAATGAATTGGTAAATAGATATACTATCTAAACATACAAACATACAAACATACATACATACATACATACATACATACTTACATACATACATACATACAAACAGACATACATACATACATATATTCATACATACATACAAGATGCAAAGGATTTCGTTGCATAAGCCATGTTCGGATCAGTTTTTTGTTTTTATCATGGCGTTGTACTTATTTTTATAATATTTAATAATTTAAAATAATAATAATAATTAATAATAACAATAATTAATAATAATAATAATGTTAGATTGCCGTGTTATAATTTGTGTTATTATTCTTGATTAATTTTAAATTTGATATGATCGTTTATGAAAAAAATGTTGAATAACAACAGCAACAACAACAACAACAACAACAACAACAACAACAACAACAACAACAACAACAACAACAACAACAACAACGACGACAACAACAACGACAACAACAACAATATTAATAATAATAATCTCTTTTGGATACATTTAACCAGCAATTATTAACACACAAAACTGCATCAAATGTTTTCTAGATAATAATAGTTATAGATATAATAATAATAAAAAAAGGTTAATATTATTATATTTTATTCTTATTTTTATTACATTTAAAATAATTGGTTTAATTCCATGATTTAAAATTGAAATCGGTAAAACTGTGTGTGAATTGTGCCCAAATATACAACTTGAAACACTTGAACGCTAGTATTTTGTGTATTAAGCTTGTTTTTCTGTATTGTAGATATTTTTATATGTTTGTTTGTTTGTTTGTGTATGTATGTATGTATGTTTGTTTGTATGTTTGTTTATATTTATGTATATTTTTATGTTTGTTTGTTTGTATGTATGTATGTATGTATATTTTTATGTTTGTTTGTATGTATGTTTGTACGTTTCTTTGTTTGTGTTTGTATGCATGTATGTATTTTACGTTTGGCGTTTTCTTGTGTACCGTTTAACAAATAAACAATTTGTTTAGCGTTGTACTTTTTGAGACATATTTTTAGCGAAAGTTTATTTTGCTTAGTTCGCAGAATTGTTAGTACATGCATTTGCATAAAAAGCGGTGACTATGTTTGTATGTTTACGTTCACATGTTTGTATGTTTGTATGCGTCTGTATGTATGTGTGTATGTGTGTGTATATGTGTATGCATGGGTCTGTATGTGTGTGTATGTGTATGTGTGTGTATGTGTATGTGTTTGTATGTGTATGTGTGTGTATGTGTTTGTATGTGTGTGTATGTGTTTGTTTGTTTGCAGTATCGTTGTATGTATTAATTTCTGCTCCGTTTTACTAATTTAATATTCAACCCCAACACAATGACGATGATGACGATGATGACGTAAGATTGATAACAATGATTATGCCAATGATGATGAACATAACGACGACAATGGCGACGACGATGACGCTGCTACAGTAGCTGCAGCTTCTGATAACATTAATTTTATTGATGATAATAATAATGTGAGCGATTATAGGAGCAGTGATGAATTGTGGTGGAAAAAAAATTTTGACAGTTTCGACAATAAATTGTCTATGGGATAAATTTTTATCTATGGCACTATAAGTGCTGATGATGATAACTGATAACCGCTGGGGTGATGATGATGATTGTGATACATACACGTACGTACATACAGATACACACACACATACACACAAACACACACAGACGTACACACACACACATGCACACAAACACACACAGACGTACGTACAGACAGCATTTAATTTACATAATAGATAGACTTCATGATGATGGTTATAAGTTTTTTTAAGATATTTGGTTGGTTGCTTGATTGATTGATTGACGTGTGTGTGTGTGTGTGTGCGTGCGTGTGTGTGCGTGCGTGTGTGTGTGTGTGCGTAAATAATTTTTTCAGATTCATTCACCCTTAGCTCCAGCAAATAAAGGCATTCATAAAAAGTCTATTTTTCGACATTTTCCAGTTTATTCATAATTTGTTTTTCTAAAAAAATGTTTTCATTTTTTTTATTTTTCTCATTCAATATGTGGAATAATTTTTCAAAAAATATCAAAACTTGTTTAGTATGTGGGTATTATGTTTTGAAATTAATGGATAACATACACACACGCATACTTACGCACCCTTACAAAAACACACACAAACAAACATAAAAACTCACACAAACAAACATATAAACCCACAAACAAACAAACAGACAAACAAACATACAGACCCACAAACAAACACAATGACAGACAAACAAACAAACAACATAAAAACCCACCGCACTCTCAGATTTTGCAATCCCTAGCCACAAGAAGCACCAGCTCTCGCGGCTACCAGCTAAGCAGCTACCAGCTAAGCAGCTACCAGCTAAGCAGCTACCAGCTAAGCAGCTACCAGCTACGCAGCAGCCAATACAGCTACTACAGAATGTCAAAACGCTCCGACATGATCGACGAAGCCAACCTCGTCCAGCCGTCAAGCGAACGCCACAAAATCGCCCACAAAAAGCGGCTACTGCAGCTAAAACGCTACTGCCAGTATGAAAAACAGCTAGAAAAAGCTGTGGCTAAGAAACCCCTGCTACAGATGAGTAAAAAGTCAAACAGCGGTGTTGTTAAAAAACAGCTACGTGAGGTGAGGTTTGTTGGGAAGGTTAGGCTACTTGAAGCTGCCGCTAGGAATGACGTCGATGAAGGTATGTGGTGTGGTGTGGCGTGGCGTGGTTGGTGTGGCGTGGTTGGTGTGGTTGCTATTGGTGTGCCTGGCTGCTTTGTGGTGAGGTTGTATGATGGTGTAGCAAACATAAGAACAAAATAGAAATGAATGAAATGAAAAATGAAGTCGTGAATTGGAACAAAGCTAATTGGAGCACGCGACCTAAAATTGAATGAATTATTTATTTCATTATGTTCCAATTGTTTGATTATTATCATTGGATGGCTTGACTAAATGGCAAAACAAATTGACTGAATTGTGTGTGTGTGTGTCGTGTGTCGTGTGTGTGTGTGTGTGTGTGTGTGTGGTGTGTGTGGTGTGCGAGTGTGTGTAAGTGTGTGTAATTAATTTGTTTTTGTTGTTGCAGTTATTTTGTCTTTGGTGGTTTGTTTGTTTGTTGTTTACATGTTTATTGACTTTTTTGAAAAGGTTTTACACTGAGGCGCGCACACACGCACACAAACAAACAGACAAACACACACACACATACACACTCACAGACAAACACACACACACACAATCACACACATAATTTTCACCTCCAGCATTACATACATTATATTTTACATCTTTCGGTACATTAGCAGCGATGCTAATTTTGAATGCATAACGATGATACTATTATGCGGTGGGTGTGTCGAAATGGATGCTACTACTACCACTGCTGCTGCTGCTGCTGCTACCACTGCTGCTACTACTAATTTTACTACTACTACTACTACGAATGATCGATTGAATGAATGAATGATGGATGAATGAATGATGAATGAAGAAATGAATGAACAAAATAAAGAAGGAATGAATAAATAAATAAAAAAATGAACGAATAAACAAACGAATTAATGATGGAAAGAGGGAAAATATGAACGAACAAATGAACGGTTAAATAAATACAACAATTGATGAATGAACAAACGAAGGAATAAATGAATGAATGAATGATGAATGAATGAATGAACGAATGAACGAACGAATGAGTAAATGAATGAAAGACTGAGCGAGCGAGCGAACGGGCGATTGATTAGTTGAATGATGACTTTACTTGTCAATGAATGAATTTGCAAAAAATTTCATTTCCATGATTGACTGAATGTTGAACTGAGTGATTCATGGAAAGATTGATAAAAAAATAAACAAATGGGAGAATGAATGAAATTGGATGAATAAATTATAGACGGGCAGACAGACAGATGAACGAACGAGCGTATGAAATAAAAGAATGAACTACAAAAACTATATACATTACTATCGTTTGGTTAGTTAATAATAACATTAATACCAAGAATAATAGTCTTAATAATAATAATAATAATAATAGTATTAATAATAATAATAATAATATCAATAATAATAATAATTATTATTATAATAATATAAATCAAGATAAGCTGGCGGGAACAAAGCGCCAATGTATTTACTTGAAAGAAAAAATAAATTGTTTTTCCAAACTTGTTTTTGTTCGTCAACTTAATTCTATCATTCAACTGATAATTATTATTTCAACATTATGTATAAATCTTTCTTTTTCTCTCTCTCTCTTTCTCTCTCTCTCTCTTTCTCTCTCTCTCTCTCTCTTTCTTTACCTTTCAATCTATCTATATGTTTTTGCTTTTATATCCGATTCAAATTTTTCTTGTTATGAATAATAATATAATTGATGAGCGACTGAACGAAGAATAAAAAAAAGTAAATCTCGTCTTCAGCAGTTTTCAAAAGTATTTTAAAAAGTAGAAAATTCAACTAAAGCAAAGAGATGGAGAGAAAAAAAGGGAAAAAAAGAAAGAGAAAGAGAGAAATCAAAGAACTGGTATTTCAGAAAAATTTGAAAATTCAACTTGGCAAAGAGAGAGAGAGAGAGAGAGAGAGAGAGAGAGAGAGAGAGAGAGAGTGAAAGATTAAGGAAATGGTATTTCAGAAGTATTTAAAAATGTGGGGATTAAACTTAAAACATGAAAGAAGAGAGAGAAAGGGAGAGAGGGAGAGAAAAAGAGAATGAGAAACAAAGAGAGAGAAAAACAAAGAAATAGAGAATTTATTAATACCACTAGTTGATTCCGTCTAACAATATTTTTTCCATTTCATTTCCGCCATAGTTGCATAGTTGCAGTGAGGGAGAATGAAATGTGTGTACCTACACGTAAAACTTTTGTATGTACGTTAATATTTCCTCTATTTAATATTTTATTAAATTTTATTTAATTGTTTTTTCATATATTTATTATTTATTTTCCGATTTTATTTTCAATTTTTTGGCCTGAAAAAAAAATGTCTATCTGTGAAATAATTTTATTTATTTTTTGGTCGAATTCCTTATCTCGCATTGATTTAATGGTTTTTCTAAATGTGTGTGTGTGTATGTGAGTGTGTGTGTGCATGTGTGTATGTATGTGAGTGTGTGTGTGGTGTGTGTGTGCGTGTTGTATTTGACTTTCCTTTCTGTGTTAAATAGATGGGTTTGGTGAAAAAAGAGAAATTTGACTAACTTTTACATATATACATACATGCACACGCACGCACACAAAAACACACAAACTCACCCACACACAAACACATATACATACACATTTGACTGTATATACATACATACATATACAGTACTTTTAAAACGTAACCTAATGATGATTTAATGTAATGGCAGATGCAAGCAGGTTTCAATATCAATGTATGTATCTTTTTATCTCGGCTACCTATATCTATATTATATCTATATATTCATTTATTTTTGTAAGTACAGAGAGAGAGAAAGAGTGAGAGAAAGAGAAAGAAAGAGAGAGAAAGAAAGAGAGAGTGATAGATAGAATTTGAAAGGAAGAAAGTAAAAGAGGTAATAGAAAATGTAGAAAAGAGTACAAAATGAGTGGTTGAAGATGAAAGAGAAAAATAGAAGAAGATAGAGAGAAAAAAAGAGATAGAAAAAACAAAGACAAAGAGAAAAGACAAAAAGGGAGAGAAAGAGAGAAAGAGAGAGAGAGAGAGAGAGAGAGAGAGAGAGAGAGGGAGAGAGAGAACAAATGGAAGCAATGACAGAGAGTCGATAAACCCATAAACATTTATATAAAAACACTTGCATGCACACTGACACACATACATACAAACATACAAACAAACACACGCACTCGCATACACACAAGCACAAACACACACATAAACACACAGGGAAAGAAACAAACACACACACACATACAGACATAGAGAAATATAAATAGCAATTGTAGTTAATTCAACTGTTGTTCATCTGATCAACATCGCCCCTGATTACCTTGCATGCCAAAGGATTTTGATCGATTAATTAATACAAAAGTCATAACTATTATCAGACATATATACAAAAACGTACATACAAATGCATGATCGTACAAACATACACACGTACAAGCGTACAACCGTACAAACAAACATGCATGCATACATACATACATACATACAATGTTTTATTTCAACTGTTTTTTTTAGGATAAGGTAAAATTTATGTATATATACATAAAATCATAGACACACGAACTGACAAACATCCACACACAAACATACTTACATAAAAAAACATACAAACACATACAAAACCTTAAACATACAAAACAACAACCGCCACGAACAAACAAAGCAAAGGCTCAGCAAACAAAACAAAACAAAAAGTTATTTTTTTATTTCTTTTTGCTCCGAGCAATTATTTAAAATATTCCTACGTAGCAAGAGAGAGCTGTTGCTATCCAAAATATAGCATATAACATTTGTTATTGTTATCCTTATTGTTGTTGTTATTATTATTATTAATATTATTATTATTATTACAAAGTTTGTTGTTGCTGATGATGTTGCCTTATACGGAATATATTGTTATTGATATTGCTATTATTACATTTAATAATATTAAACATAAAAACATTAGAATAATCGGTGAAAACTTAATGAATCGTTCATTCATTCAATCTTTCTTTCTTTATTTCATTCATTCATTCATTCCTTCACTCATTCGTTCGTTCGTTCATTCATTCGTTTGTTTGTTCGTTCGTTCGTTCATTCATTCATTCATACGTTCATTCATTCGTATGACATGAATGGCTAAAAGCTTCTATAATGTATGGATAATTGCGATGGATCGAATGAATTAGACTGTGAATTTTTTATTTATTTCATTCTCTCCTTCATTTTTTCATTCTTTCTATTGTTCGTTTGTTCATTCGTTCGTTCGTTCGTCGGTTCGTTCGTTCATTCGTTCGTTCGAGTATGTTTGTGTTTGTTTAATTTTGTCTTTTATAAAGCACTTAAACAAATCCAGCTTATATTGAATTTGAAATAATAATAAACAAGATGAAAAGTAGTGGTCCCAAGATACTTCCTTGTGGGACTCCAACACCATTATGTTGTAATGTTGAATTTTTATTTCCCCAGCTGACAAACTGCTTTCTTTCAGACAAATAACTTTCAAACCATTTCAAAGTCGTTCCTCTTATGCCATAGTGTTCAAGTTTACCCAACAGAATGGAATGATCAATACAATCGAAAGCTTTCGACAGATCTAGACATGTTCCTACGATGAATTGTTTTTTCTCCGCAAGCTTTCCAATTTTCCTTACGAGTTCTATTATTGCCAGTTCTGTTGAATGTTTCTCTCGAAACCCGAACTGGTAACATGATAGAATATTATTTTTTTTTAGAAACGATATTATTCGTTTATGCATAATTTTTTCTATTATTTTCGAAAATGCAGGAACTAATGAGATGGGTCGAAAATTAGAAACATCATTATTTCCGGTTACTTTCTGTAACGGTATGATTTTAGATGTTTTGAAGCATCTAGGAAAAATACCTGTTGTGAGTGATCGATTGATGATGTGCTCGAGAACCCAGGCTGTGGTGTGGATTGTTGATATGACTATTTTTGTTGGAATGTTATCCCGGCCGCTAGATGATTTTGAAGCCAGCAGTTTTGTTGCGAAAATAATTTCTTCTGCAGATGCGTGGAGGCAAAAAAACGAGTTTGGTATTTTGTTGCCAAGAAACTTTTTCCATTGATTATTTGTTTGAAATGATTTAAGCAGATTTGGTGCTATGTTGATAAAATAATCATTCAAAAAATTTTCTGGATTTTCAATTATTTGTTCATTTGAAGTTACTTGCAAATTCGTTTTATTGCCACTGGATCTATTCGATACTTCCTTAATTATTGACCAAGTTTTTTTGCTGTTGTTTATATTTTGCTCGATTTGGTTGGTGTAGTATCTACGTTTTAATTTGTTTTTTAAGTTGGTACACAGTTTACTACAAGTCTTGAATTTTAAAAGTCGATCTTCTGACGGATTTTTCAGATATATTTTAAATAAACATTTTTTCTTTTTTAATAATTTTTTAAATTCTGCAGTGAACCACAGCTTTTGTTTGTAGAGTTTGTTTTTCTTTCTATTTGATTTTATCAGACACGCATCATAGAAATAGGATTGAAATCTGTTGAAGAACAATTCAAACCCCATATCAACATCGATGCAATCAAAAACTTCACTCCAGTCAGAATATTGCAAACGTTCATTCAATCTCCGCAGACGATGTGTTGAAAAAGAGAATTTCGTTTGTGTTGAATCTTTCACATCAATGCTTCTATTTCCATCATCAATTGAAGCAAAAATCGGAAAGTGATCTGATAGATCGCACATCACAACGCCATTCAGTCTTGAAGGTTTTAAACAGTTCACAAAAATGTTGTCTATCACTGATTGTTTTCTAATGCTGGTTCTTGTTGAAATTGTAATAATCGGTGATAAATTGTAGCATGAAGTGAGATGTAAAAAAATTAGTTGTGCTGTTGTCTTCTTCTACGGAAAATAAATTGAAGTTGAAATTCCCCATTAAACAGATAAATTTATTTTCATTGTTCGCAGCGTGTAACAACTGTTCTAATTGATTGATATAAAATTTTGGATCTTGAGACGGAGGTCGGTAAGTTACGATCATTATCGAATTTTTTTTTGAATCTTTATTAATTATCTCGATTGAAAATGTTTCGAAGTCTTTGCAACCAATAAGATTCAAATCATTTCGAATTTTATATAAACAACTATTTTCCAAATAAAAACCGACACCACCACCATGCTTACCACATCGATTTTTTCCAACAAAATGATAACCCTCCATTTCAACATCATGTTCATTATTTAGCCAGGTCTCTGTTATTGCTACGACATTAATTTTGAAGGAAAAATTCATTAAGAAATCATAAAGTTCGTTAGTTTTGTTTATTAGACTTCTTATATTCAAGTGCATAACGTTTAGCATTGAATTACTCACGTCAAAAATGAAAGATTGATATTTAGCATTGACTGACCTTGGACCGTCAAACATTATTGAATTTTGTAACAATTGTTCTTCATTATTTAAAAATTGGTTATTTAAAATTTTACTCTCCATTCAGAGTATTAGCATCAGGTTTCGTCTGATTGAAGCGCCATTCGCGCACAATAATGTTTTTCAACATAATGTCAGGATCCTTCATCTTACCGACATCTGAGCTATCGATGCAGACTATGAACATTGTTGATTCCTGGTCATCTTTGTCAAAATTTTTATCAAAAATTCGTCAAAAATTCAACAACATCTCTTCGATGGCATTTACTAATGTTGCTCATTGAGAACACAGATTTTTTAATTAAATTTTTGTCTGCCCTCAATTTACAATCTTCAACAACTTTTTTGCCAATAACTTTTGTTGGTTTTTTAGCTGTCTTGATGTTTGCCGTGTTTTCGTTGTTGTTGTTTGAAGTGATTTCGCCGTTGTTGTTGTTTGAAGTGGTTCCCCCGTTGCTGTTGGCCTCCAATGAGACGTTCAAACGTGGACGTTTGTTGTGCCGCTTCACCAACGTGAACGCTTCGTCCAGAGTGGGTGATGACACGACGTCCGCCCACAAAATTCCTGGCGCATTTTGGTTAGTTGGTGGCAACGTGTTATTTACATTGTTAGAGATTACTGAGTCAACGTTTACTTTTTTGCCAACATTGTTTGCAACAAGAGAGTTAAGTTTATTTTTAACATTATCCAACTCGGTAGTATAAGACGAAAACATTTTATTTATCTCAGCTTGTTGAGCGAACAACATTTCTTTTATTTGTTTGTTAACGAAGTCGAAATTTATTTTCAGCCAGTTTTCCGTGTTTGGTATTTTATTTATATCAGAACTGCAAAATAATGCTATTTTATCCAACAAATTGTTATTTTTAATATACCTGAATAAAGTCAAGCATTCCAGAAGTTTTTCACGTTTTGAATTCCCGCGCGAGGGAAATTTTTCTATTTTATCCAGTTTTAGTGAGTCTATTTCACATTTTAATGTTTTAATTGCTAAAACAATATCGTCACTAGTATAAAATTCACTAGTATTATTAATAAATGATTCTTCCTCTATTAAACTTAAATTATTATTAATAAAATAAAGGAGCTCGTTTATTTTTACCGGTCTCGACGCCATTTTTTTCATACATACATACATACATACATACATACATACATACATACATACATACATACATACATACATACATACATACATACATACATACATACATACATACATACATACATACATACATACATACATACATACATACATACATACATACATACATACATACATACATACATACATACATACATACATACATACATACATACATACATACATACATACATACATACGTACGTACGTACGTACGTACATACATACATACATACATGCATGCATACATACATACATGTGTATCTGCTTGCTTCTATTCATTTGTATATTTATGTCACGCCGCACCAATAATCTTTATTTTGCCCATGACTGAACAAGGTGTTATTAACATTTAAGCTATTTTTTGTATTTATATATATGTATGTATGTATGTTTGTTTGTCTGTATATGTATATATGAATGTATGTATGTATGTGTGTGTATTTTTCTGTATTTGTATGTATAAAAATGTATGTTTGTTTGCTTGTTTGTATATATGTATGTATGCATGTGTGTGTATGTGAATGTTTGTGTGTAGGTTTATATAAATACAAAAAAAATTATAAAAAAATTTAATTACAGTCCGACAACTTTTGGAAAGCGGTGTGAGCCCAGATGTTGCAAATGATGATGGGCTCACGGCCATGCATCAAGTATTGTATTGTATTGTTTGTATGTTTGTTTGTATTCTTTTTATGTTTTTATGTATGCTTGTTTGTATTCTTTTTATGTTTGTATGTTTATTAGTATGTATGTATGTTTGTACTTTCGTTTGTATGTTTGTATCTTTTAGTATAATTATTTAATTCATCCTTTTTTTCTCCATAATGTGTCTTACTTTCGTTTTTTGGTAATTTTTTTTGTATTTTTTTGTATTATTTTAATGTTTTTTTAGTTGCATTTTTTGTATTTTTTTTACAGTTTTTAAAATATTTTTCTGAATTTGTTATCATTTTTCGTTCTTTTTTAAGTCGATTGAGATATATGCACCAATATATATACATACATGCATATGTATATATTCGTCGACGCTCTTCACTTCCGTCACACACATACCACGCACACACACACACACACACACACACACACACACACACACACACACACACACACACACACAGTGCTGCATAGATAACTTCGAAGAAATGTTATGCCTATTAATAGAATACGGCGCCAACGTTAACGCTTGCGACAGCGAACTGTGGACGCCACTACACGCCGCGGCTGCCTGTGGCCACCTCTATCTATGCAAACATTTAATTGAAAAGTTAGTTGACTGATTGGTTGGTTGGCTGGCTGGTTGTCTGGTTTGTTGGCTGGCTGGTTATTTTGTCGGCCATTCTTGTCATTCATACATGTACAAGTGTTTGATTGAGATGGCAACTGATTGGTTGGTTGGTTGATTGTTGGGTCGGTGGTTTGATTGGCTGGTTGGTTGGGTGGTTGGTCGGTAGTTTGATTGATTGGTTAGTTGGGTGGTTGGTTGTTTGATACGTTGTTTAGTTAGTTGGTTTCATTTGTTTGAGTAGAAGAATTATTCACCCATAAAAAATCAACCATCCCACCAATAATTCAGAAACTAATATCATACATAATCAAACCGTAAAATCCATAATTAACGATTAAAAGTGGATTTAGCCATAAATCTAAAAAACTAAACGATTAAAAGTGGATCTAACTTGATGGCGGTCAACTGCGACGCCATGATGCCCTACGACATCTGCGACAACGACGCCACCCTTGACTACATCGAGACGGAAATGACGAAAAGAGGTTTTTTGATGGATGAATTAGTGGATGAATGAATCATTGAATGAATGAATTAATGAATGAATTAACGAATGAATGAATGGATAAATGGATGGATGGTGGATGGATGGATAAATGAATGAATGAAAAGATTGACGGATAGATGGATATATAAATAGATGAATGAATGGATATCTATCTATAAAAACCGATCAAATAAACGAATGAACGAGTTAGTAAATGAATGAATAATTAGATGTGAATCGCCATCATCATCATCAGCACTATCGCCAGCACCATCATCATCATCACCACAACCATTATCATCATCACCACCATCATCATCATAATCATCCCCAGCAACACATTTACCATCCACTCATCAATCAATGATAAGCTCATTACAACATAAAAGAAATGATTTGGTGCGCACACACACAAACACACATACATACAGACATAGAAACACGAACACAATTGTATGTGTGTATGTATGCGTGTATGTATGTGTGTATGTATGTGTGTATGTCTGTGTGTGTGTGTGTGTGTACGTATGTGTAGGTATGGGTGTAGGTGCGGTGTGTGATCAGTTGGTTTCTTTATCTTCATCACGCAACTTGCCCTGCTTCAATAATAACCAACTATCGTCAGATATCTTTCTTTCTGCGTGCGTGTGTTTCTGCATGTATGTATGATATTTATGGCCAATTTGGTTGCTGGTTGCTGTGGTAATATGGCGAAAGAAATGATTTTGAACGAATTATTATTGAAATTGCGGAGAAAATTTGAATAAATTTCATTTTAAAAATTCCTGAATATATTTCTACAAAGTTGACGAGGTTTGCCTGCGTAAAAAGTTAATGTTGTTGCATGAAGCGGAAAAATTGGCATTTAAACCGCCGAAAATTTCAAAGAAATGTAGGGAAGCACTTTTGCGAGCTCATAACAGCTACCGAGCACGTGTTTGACAGCAGAAGGAATGACAATATTCTGTTTTTCGTGACGTCTGATGTTTCAAGGGTTGGTGACTGTGGTAGACATTTTCCAAGCTACCTACCGCCATCCTCATTGTCACAGTAATCATCAGCCTCGCCGTCAACATCGCCATCCCCATCAGGGATAACGCAACAGTTGATAGACGAGACACGCAACCTTCGAGAACAGACGATGTTGAGAGAGCTGAAGGAGAAGATAGACGTCAACTGGACCGGAAGGAATGGAGAAACTCTCGTTAGTACACAACTTCTAGTAAACTTTTACGGTATCTGTAACCTATTTTTAGAGTAATGTTTGAATTTTGTGGCAGTTTTTCTGTATTTTTATGTATATGCATGAATTTTTTAGAATAGATTACCCCCCTAAAAACCATTTTAAAGCTGCACATAGCCGCCTGCAATGGATACACAGACGTCGCCCAATACCTGCTCACCGTACCAGGCATCAACATCGACGCCCTAGACCACGAATTGTGGCAGCCAATCCACTGCGCCGTTTGCTGGAATCAGGTCAGACTGTTTGACCTACTTTTATCTTATTGGTTGCTTGTTCGACCTATTTTTATCCTATTAGTTGGTTGCATTAGCATTTTTTTCCTATTGGTTAATTAATTGATGTATTAAAAAAAATTTGTTAAGGACTTAAGTGTTTATTCTTCTTCATATTTTTGAATGAGTTTTATTATTTTTCTGATCTGATTGTTCTATATAAATAAAATAAAAAAGAGAGAAATCAAGATAAGGATAAAAAAAGCTTTTGATTGCGATGTTAAGGCAAAATAAACATGACAGAAAGCAACAATGGAGTCCATCTAATCAAGCCTTTCTTCAATTTCATCGTCATTCTCACTCACTCAAACTTGAAACAAATTTTTTTTTACCGCTGGTTTATTTCTTTTCACTCATTCGTCTCTCTCTCTTTCTTTCTCTCTCTCTCTCTCTCTCTCTTTCTCCATTTTTATAATGTGTAGAAAGCAAGGAAGCTATTATTGATGTTGGTTAACCACCCACTGGTTTTTCTTCCTTATAAAATGAGTCAGTTTAATTGTTAGCCTGTCGGTTGGTCTGTCTGTCTGGTCTTTCTTTCTGTCTGTCTGTGTATTTGTTTGTTTGTGTTGTTGTCTCCCTTCATTCGGATATGTAATACACACACACTCATATATACATATATATAAATATAATAATGACAACGATGATATAATACTTAACTGTATTCATTACATTTGAAAAATGAATATAATGCATTTGCTAATTGTGAATAATGTGTGTGTATGTTTGTGTGTGTGCGTGTGTGTGTGTGTTCGTGTTTTCATTTACATATTTATAGATTCATTTCTTATAATCTAAGATTGAAACCACTAGATATGGAGTTATGTAATGTGAATGAATGAACGCTTGTATGTGCGTATGTATGTGCGTGTGTGTGTATGAGTGTATGTGTGTGTGTTTGTTTGTTTGTTTGTATGTATGTATGTTTGATTGTACGTGCGTTTTTTCATCCAACGAAAATAAATAAACGAAATTGAAAATAGCGAAACTTAAATCAACATGGAAAAACAAATTTAATCAATATATATGTGAAAAATAAAAAAGGATGGTGACGACGACGATGATGATAATGATGATGATGATAATGATGATAATGATGTTTTTGTCGGCATGTTACCAAAGAGCCAAAAAAGTAAGTTTTTTTTTACGCTCCTGTTGAAAAATATCGACAAAAACGCCACTTCTTGTATGTAGAACAGCAGGCTGTGCAATAAAAATAATAATAAACTTATCAACAACAACAACAACCCCATAACAACAACAACGTCATAACAACTAATCCTGCGAAATGACGTCACCAAAATATGAAGACAACAACCGGAAAAGGAAGAAGATGAAAAGAGGAAAATATTTTAAGGTGCGCTCATGTCTAGAGCGTAAAGATGAAAATTATCATCCGCCTGTATCCATCCAATCAATATTCCGTATGCAATTGATATATACATCTTACTCTTACCACCACTACTACTACTACTACTACTACTACTACTACTACTACTACTACTACTACTGTATTTGTTGCTACTATTACTATTACCACTGCTACTGCTACTATTAATACTTCAGCAGCTGCTGCTACTACTGCTAGTAATAGTAATAAAAATAAGAATAAAAATAAATTTCTTTTCTTATCTGGTCAATGTCAGTTCCCATCTTCATAGCTGCTAATGTTAGCAATAAGACAAATAATAACAAATAGAAGGAATAATAATAAATAATATTAAATAATATTAATAATTATTATAGTGGTAATAATAAACATAAAATAAAATAAGCGAATGAAATATTTCAGAATTGAAGTTCAGAATAGTATCTTCAAACGCTCGGGCGTACAAATCATATCTTCAAAAATTATTTCTTGGCAATGAAACAAGTGTTAATATCATTCTTATTGTTATTATTACTATTTTCATTATTCTACAGTGGATTAAAATGGATTATAGTGATAATTCTTTTTCTCATTTTATATAGCCATTAAAATTTTACACCAAAAAAATGTTAATATTTATTTTATTTCGCTTATTTTAAAGTTTATTATGTGTTGATGGTTTGTATGTACGTACATGTACAGAGGTTCTCTTTCTTTCTGAGGTACAATTTTCATTTTAATTGGAATTTTGTAGGGTATGTTTGTATCGATTGTATTGTTTTGTATAAGTTTGGTATAGTTTTCTGTTTTCATATCTTTTCTCTTTCTCTTTTTCTATCTCTCTCTTTTTCTATCTCTCTCTCTTTTTCTCTTTCTCCCCCTCTCTCTCTGTCTCGTACATTCTTTTATTCTTTTTTTTTCTCTTTTGATTTATCTCTCTTTTTCTCCGTCTTTATGCCATTTTCTTGTTAACTTTTTGATAAATATTTGTAACATCAAATCGCCTAATTTATATCTGCAAATCAGCTAATTAACATGCAAATCATCTTAATAATATTCATGAATTCTATCGATAGCTCGGTGTACTAGAGTTATTATTGGCCCACGGAGCTAACCTGGATGCCAGGACCCGGAACGGAGAAACGCCATTGGGTGAGCTTTTTTAATTTATGCGCATAAATTAAATTATAAATATAATGTGGAAAATATTGAGAAACGAATGATTGTTTTGAATGATGATGATGTCGAAATGATGATGAAGAAATGAAGATGATGAGGAAGATGAAGAAGAAGATGGTGATGACGATGATGATAAAATTACCGATATGCAAATTTGGCCCAAAAATATATTACAGATGACGCAAATAAGTTGTCATGGCGATGATGGCAATGACGAGCATACAAACACGTATACAAACACACACACAACACACACACACAAACAAATAAATGCACACATACAAACACACATAAATACAAACACACCGAACATACATAATTGCATACATATATAAATTGTGTGTGGATAATTTTGTCAACCCATCCGATTCAATTACAATGGATGAATGGCCACAGAGGCTATCGAACTAAAAGGTAGTAGTAGTCGTAATGGTAGTAGTAGTAGTAGTAGCCGTACTAGTAGTAGTCTTTGTAGTAGCAGCAGCTGCAGCAATAGAAGTAGTAGTGGTAGCGGAACTTTAGCAGCGACAATCACAACAGTAGTAGTAGTAGTAGTAGTAGTAGTAGTAGTAGTGGTAGTAGTAGTAGTAGTAGTAGTAGTAATAGTAGTAATAGTAGTAGTAGCAGTAGTAGGTAGTAGTAATAGTAGTAGTAGCAGTAGCAGCAGCAGAAGTAGTAGTAGTAGTAGGTAGTAGTAATAGTTGTAGTAGTAGTAGCAGCAGAAGTACTAGTAGACGAGGTTGTTGCGTCATCTTGTTTGTAATTGGATTAAAATGTGTTTGGCTTCGACTAGAGGAATATGTTGTTGTTGTTGTTGTTATTTATACTATTATTATTATTATTAATATTGTTATTGTTGTTGTTGTTGTTGCTGTTGTTGTTGTTGTTGTCATTTGTATTTATCTTTTAATTGAAAAATTAGCTTTTGTCTTTTGCAAAAAGGAAAAAATACTAAATTAGTTCTGCGAAGAAGATAATTTCAACTATAACCATCACCATCATCATCATCATTACCACCACCATCATCATCACCACCACCACCATCATCATCATCGTCATCATCGTCGTCGGAACTCGTCAGGCATTTATTTATCACCCGGCTTTTTGTTTATAGTATGTCGAAGTTACATAACAATCATTCATTAGCTGATGAAAAAATGAATGAATGAGAGAATGAATTAATGAATGAATAACTAAATGAATAAATAAAATAAAGGAATGAATGAATGAATGAATGTACTAACAAAAAAAATGAATGAATGAATGAATGAATGAATGAATGAACATATGAATGAATGAATGAACGAATAAACGAATGAATGAACAAACGAATGAATGAATAAATGAACGAACGAATGAATGAATGGATGAATGAACGAAGGAATGAGAGAATAATAAAAGAATGAATAAATAGATAAGCAAAAAATGAATAAATCGACAGTTGTACCACGCATCATTTGTACAGACTAATTTGGCCGTGATGTAGAGTTTTATTAAGTTTGTGGTATTTGGTATATCTGTGCGTTCTGTTAAACACACGTACACAGGCACACACATACATAAATACACACACGTACATAAACACACACACACACAAATACATATATACATACATAAATACATACATACATATATACATTCAAATATATACAATCATGTATACATTTATACATACATGCAGAAAGACTGTCGTGCTTACGCACACACACACACACACACACACACACACACACACACACAAACACACACACAAACACACACACACACCTACATGTGTACATATTGTAGGTGCAACTTAAGTGCACTTGTACTTAATTAGTTTGTACGTGCTTTGTATGTTTTTGTTGAGTAGCATCCTATTTTAATTATTTTTCGCTATTATTGTTATTAAAATTCGTTGTTGTTGTTGTTGTTGTTGATGTTGTTGATGTTCTGTTGTTGTTGTTGTCAGCAACGCTCATTCAATTTAACATCAACAAAAGGCCTTCAACAACGACATCAATGACTGCCATTTAATATGAACAATACTACGTAATGTATTTAATTTTTTGCAAAATGCAAAAAGCAATATCCACAACAACAACATCAAAAACAACAATATCAACAACAAAAACAATAACAACAACAACAACAGCAACAACAAAAACAACAACAACAACAGCAACAACAACAGCAACAACAACAGCAACAATATCAACCTCAACAACATTAACATCAACAACAACGACGACAACTAGAACAACGACGACAACAACAACTCTCACGCACTCTCATGTATTCATTTAACCAATGACTCCATCCAGTTGATTAATCAAACCGGAGAATGATGATGATAATGATGGCTATGATGATGAAAATGATGGCTATGATGATCCTGGCGACGATGATGATGATGATGTTTTCCATGATGATGATGATGATGTTTTCTATGATGATGATGATAACGAATTTTCTGTTGATAATTTCGATGATTTACTATAACCGCGAAGAAATAAATAGCCAAATACATACGGAGCAAGTATGCGACAAATTTACAGCAACAAAGCAAGCAAAATTAACTTGCAAAACTACAAAATTTAAAAAGCGGACTAAAAACCTAAAAAAAAACACACACACACACATAAACATACATACAAACGTATTTATAAACAAACCCAAAAACAGACATACAAAACAAACAACAGACAAACAAACATACAACCTTGGCAGACATGTGTGAAGACGACGAACTAAGACAACAGATTGTTGACATGAAAGATCATTGGCAAAGAAATAACAAATCCTCAAGGTCACGCGACTTACAACATAGACACAGCAGTAATACCAGAAGGTATTTTGATGTCTTTGTTATTGTTGTCGTTGTCGTTGCTGTCTTTGTTGTTGTTGTTATTGTTGCTTGTTTGTATAGACATGAAATGTAATGCAAGCTTATTTTTAAAACGGGTAGTCATCTTAATATTGCAGTTGTTGTTGTTGTTGAAAGTTTTGTTGTTCACGTTTTGTTGTCTATGTTTTGTTGACAACTTTCCACTTTTAAACATTTCTTTCCTAATTCAATAGGATGCATTTTCTGAAGTTGTAAATCTCAATTTTATTTTAATCTTATTTTAATTGCAAAACATAAGAGTGTTTTGCAAATCGTCATCAAGACCACCATCATCGTCGTCCTCGTTATCATCATTATCGTAATTAACATCATCATCATCTTCATCTTCTTCGTCATCATCTTTTCCACCATCATCATATCCTTCATCATCGTCATCGTAGTCATCACCATCAACACTTTTATTAATTTATATGTAGTAAAACGCATGAAATCATTGACTTTTCCGGATTCAGTTTGTATTTGAACTCGGCGTCTGTAACGCAAGACTGCAGTAACGTTACCATTATACTATCCCGTCATGTATTGTATTTTGTGTTGTATGTACTTTGAAATGTTATTTTTTGTTTGGTTTTGTATTTTTTGTGTGCGTTGTGTGTTTTGCATAGCCTAGAAAAATTTTTCATTTTGGGATATTAATCATTTTTTCTTTGTTGTTTTGAAGTAGCGAAAACAAACTTTTATTCAATATTCGCGCTATTCTCTCGTTTACGCGCCGTATTTCGTTAGTTTCCCGCCATTTTTTGCTGCTTTCCCGCCATTTTTTTAAATTTCAAAACTTCTTGATTTATAGTTTGAATGGGTTTACGGGAATTAAGATGCTATCAACGATGATCGATTACTGTTATTATTATTATTATTATTATTATCAGTATAATAATAATAGTAATAATTATTATAATTATTATTATTATCATCATCGTCGTCGTCGTCGTCATCATTGTCCGGGCAAATTCGTTAACAAACATCCTTCAAGATGTTGTCAAGCCCATCCTTCATTCGTATGACCTTATGACCTTGATGATGATGATGATAATGATGATGGTGATGATGATGATGATGATGATGATGAGGGTGGTAATGGTAATGATGATGATGATAATGATGTTTTTGTTGTTAAAATAACAACGGTGAAATCATGTTTCAGAATTAAATGTTTGAGTTATTGATTTAGTTATTCAGTTGTTTCAAGGGAGGTTTCAATAACTAGTTTGGCTTATTATTCTTTCTTTCATTCATTTACTAATTTTGTCATTCATTCGTTTTTTCATTCATTCATTTATTTTATCATTCATTCGTTCACTCATTCGTTCACTCATTCGTTCATTCACTCGTTCACTCATTCATTCATTCATTCATTCGTCTATTTATCTTTCCCCATGCTTATTCATTGTGGGCGAAACATTTATCAAACCAATCATCCAGGCATTCTTTCGTTTATTCTTTCTTTCCTTTTCTTCATTCATTCATCCATTCAGTCATTTTCTCATACGCGCATTTGTTTATTCATTCATTTATTTACTCATTCACTCGTTCATCGATTCATTTGAAGATAATGGAGAAGAATTTTATTTGTAGAAAAATATTTGTTGTCGAAAATTTTATTGCTTTTCTCTGGCTTATGCTATTTTCGTTGTCTATTGGAAAAGCTTTTATTCTTTTCCTCGTTCGTTCTTGCACTCTTTCTTCTTTTCTTTTTCAATCTTTCATTTCTTTTTCTCTTTTTTTTTAACTGCTGCTTTGTCTCTATTCTCACTTTCTTTCAATTTCTCTTCTCTCTCCTCTTTCTCTTTTTTCTCTCTTTCTTTCTTCTCTCTCTCCTCTCTTTCTTTTTTTTCTTTGCTTTTTATTTCTTTTTTCCCATCTCAATCTGCATTTCTCTCTCTCTCTCTCTTCTCTCTCCCTCTCTTTCTTACGATTTTTTCATTAACCATAGTATTCATTCAGTTCAGTCGGTCTGGCATTTCAATGCTTTCTGCTTCAGTTTTTCTTTCAAATGCAGTAATAAGAGAGAAAGAGAAAGAGAGAGAGAGAGAGAGAGAGGGAGAAAGTGAGAAAAAGAGAAGGTGAAAATAGAGAGAGAGACAAAAGTAAAAGAGAAAGAAAGAAAAAGTGAAAGAGAGAGAGAGAGAAAGAGATGAGAATGTGAGAAAATAAATAATAATTTGAAAAAAAGTAAGAAAGATAGAATGAAGAAATAAATTAGGGAGTGAAGTAGCTAGTGAATTAGAGAAAAACAGAAAGTGAAAAATAAAACTTTAAATAAAGGAGCGCAAAAAAGAGACAACAAAAAGGTGGAGAGAGTCAAAAGGACTGAAAGATAGAAAGATAGAGAGAGAGAGAGAGAGAGAGAGAGAAAGAGAGAGAGAAAAAAAGAGAAAGAGAGAGATTAAAATAACGGATTGAATTGAACTGAAAAGATGCTGAAAATAGGAGAAAAAATTCTTTAATATTTGATTGTTCAACTGAATGGTGTGAAAAAATATATAATGTGATTTAGTTTGGTTGTGTGTGCGTGAGTATGTTTGTGTGTGTGTTTGTGTATGTGTGTTTGTATGTGTTTGTGTGCTAATTAATTTCTGTATTTAGAATAAAACCACTGAAATTAATTTATTGCTGGTTCGCCAAATCTTTGTTTGTACTGCTACTGCTTGTATTGAATGGAAACGATTAAAACAACAACAACAACAGTAACAATAACAACACGACAGCAACAAACAACAGCAACAACAACAACGACAAACAACAACGACAACAAACAACAACATTTTCATCGGCTTAATGTGTTGTTAAAAAGAGATACACGCACATGTTGTCATCTAGAAGAACTTGCGTTATTGTTGTTGTTGTTGATGATGATGATGACGACGATGATGATGATGATGACGACGACGATGATGATGTCTCCAAAAACGATTCTTCTTCATTATATTTCCTAAGTGCACTGTTACCTTCTATACTATGATGAACCGATAAAGGTGAAGGTGGTAATGCTAACGATGGTGACGATGATAATGATGACGATGGTGATGATGGTAATGATAATGATGGTGATGATGATAATGATGGTGATGATGATAATGATGGTGATGATGATGATGTTGATGTTGACGCTGGAGACAATGATGATAATGATAAAAATGCCAGGATAGAGTCAGAGTCGGAATTTTTAAGGAAATCGGAGTCGGACGGATATTTTTTTATTCATTTACCTGTCAATCAATCAATCCATCATTTACCCATCTAACAATTAATCCATTTTCTATCTATCCATTCGTTCATATATCCATCCATCCATCCATTCATCCATCCATCCATCCATCTATCTATCTATATATCCATTCATCAATACATCTATCCATATATTTATTTATCCATTCCTCCATCTATCCATATATCCATTCGTTCATTCCTCCATCCATCCATTCACTCACTCACTCAGCTCTTCAGTACGTAGAACGAGTATGAAACAGAAGAAGGCAACTTCTATGAAGGAAGCTATAGAAGAAGGAAAGATGCTTAGCAACAACAAAAACATCAACAACAATAACATCAACAACAACAGCAACAACAACAATAGTGATGAAAATCATTACATCAACAACAACAGCAACAATAATGAAGACGATAATGGCAATCTCCTTAGTGTTCTTGATATAAATGTCATCAACAACATCAACAACAACATCATCAACATCAACAACAATAATAATAGTAGTAGTGGCAGTGGAAAGAAGAAAAGTAGTTTTGTTTTTAAGGTTTGTTTGCTTGTATGTTTGTTTGTTTGTATGTGTTTGTGTTTTTGTATATGCAAGCCTGTTTTGTATGTATGTATGTTGGCATGTTTCATTGATTGTTTTTTGGCTGGTGTACGAAGTTGTTTGTAAGTTTGTGGGTTTTTTTTATATTTTTTAGAGGTTTGTTTGTGTATAAGTATGTATGTATGTATGTTTGTTTGTATGTTTGTTTTGTATTTATTATCTCCTGAGAAATTTTTTTTCTGTATTTTTTCAAATTGGAAAGGTTTCCTCCAGATGTATAAGTTTTTTTTTCAAATTACATTTTTCCAACAAAATACTGACACACCCAGTGTCAAGACATACAAACACACTTACATACAAACACACATATACACACACATACATACATACACACACACATACATACATACACACACACACACACATATACATACAGACAGATAGACAGACTTATACACATTAGGCGAACATTCCATTTTTGTGTACATTAATTTCTTTTCGTTCCGACTCGGGCATCTTCAAATATTTTTTCACTTCTTTTTTTCCTTCATTCAATCATTCTCTCTTATATAATTAACTATTTTTTTAATTATTCTTTTTACTCTTTCTCTCTTTATCTTCTCTCTTTCTCTCTCTCTCCCTCTCTCTCTCTCTCTCTCTCTTTATCTCTCTATTTATCCATTTCCTACCTATCTATCTATCTGTCTGCACATCTTTTTATTTTACACTCGCTCACTCACTCATTTTCACGATGATAATGACGATGACGATGATGATGATAATAATAATAATAATAATAATAACAATATAGGATTAATAATAATAATAATAATAATAATAATAATAATAATAATAACAACAACAATAATAATAATACAACAACAACAACGACAACAACACAGCGTAGATGGGTTCCCAACATCGACCCGACTAAATCAATAACAATAACTGCGTAATAATATTAACTTATTATTATTATTATTATTATTAAATTATTATTATTATTATTATTGTTATTATTATTATATTATTATTATTATTATTGTCAGTTTGCCGATAATATCTTTTAATGGTTATATGAGTTTTTAGTATATTGACTTCTATGAATGAAACATATCATATATAAACAGATACATGCAAACATAAAACCACTTACACACATACATAGATAAAAACAAACATACAAGCAAACAAAAAATATACAAGAACATACAAACAAACATCTCACAAAAATTCAAAAATACAAACATGACCTATTCAATCAAACACTATTTTCAGCATGTTTGCTTTAACCACAATCTCGCTAAACTACAATTTTGTATGTTTGTTTTTTTGTATGTTTCTCTGTATGTATGTTCGTTTGTATGTATATATACATATATATATATATATATGTGTGTGTGTGTGTGTGTGTGTGTGTGTTGTGTTGTACCGTTGTTTATATGTTTGTGTATATTATACATACATGTGCGTATGTAAACAATGATTGAGAGATTGTTTGCGCTAAAAAAAATGCAACCAAGAAAAAGATAGAAAATTGCATTTTTAGGAAAACAAACAAGTGAAGAAGTAGAAGCACTTATTTGAACGGCATTTAGTGGGAAGCCCCCTCGCCGCGTCAAGGCAGCCGTTCATGAGGGGGTTAATAATAAAACGACAGTGTCTAGAAATAATAAATAACAAATTCTAGAAATAATATACAACTTAACTAAAACCAAGATATAACGAAACTTAACTAAAATACAATGTGTTGATTGTTGTGTTTGATTGTTGTTGTTAATGTTGTGTTGAACAAAAAACAAACAAAACAATACAATACAAATAAACTAGAAAGTAAAAATGAAAGAATAGAGTTCCTAACTAGCCTATGTTCACTAAATTAACTCACCTACCTATGTTCAATTAGGTCAACTTACGAATTAAGCCT